AGTGGGAGAGGAGGGAGGAAAGTTTCTTTTGTCTTTCTTTGCAAATGAGTAAGGAAATGGGGGTCCACTAGGTGTCAAAGGTGTTCCTCCCATCCTTTCACTTGTCCTCCATCCCCCTTAGCACTCAATCATCCCCCTTTGGGTTGACAATTTCGTGGGGTGGCCCCCACCCATGTGGGAGGTCATCCCAATTTGTCCCAAAGTGTACAATTGGTCCCGAAAGTTGTATTTTTCGGACTGTTTTAAATATATTTTATTTTATCGGGTCAAATAAAATATATTATGTGCTCTTAATCATTATACCCTTTATAATGAATATACATTCCCAAACTTTAATTTATAAGTCCCCGAAATCCAATTTCGGGCTTTTATCGGTTAAATTACCAATACCGGTATTTGGGCCTCTTTTGACCAATCGGTCAACTCTGGGCCTTTCCATTTCTCAAATGAGATGCCCACCACCATATAAATATTATCTAGACCAAGATGAATAAAATATATGGTCCCGGGAATATCGGGCGGCCCCCGCTCCCGGTGCGGGCCCCACGTGCGAATTTACTATCCACGCAAAAACATTAATAAAAATTCACAACTTCGAATACTCGTTAACCATTCCATAAGTTCAATACATTATTCACTTAAAAGTAAATACTTTTTGGGGACGGTGTTACAAGTTCACCCCCCCCTTAATTGGGATTTCGTCCCCGAAATCCGCGTGTCTAATCGAAAAGAAACGGGTATTGTTCCCTCATTGAGACCTCAGTCTCCCAGGTTTCTTCTTCGACTCGATCACTCCTCCAAAGTACCTTTACCATCGGAATCTCCTTGTTCCTCAGTTTCTTCACCTGTTGACCCACAATATTTACCGGTTCCACCGCATATTGTAGATCTTCACGTATCTCCACCGGTGGCTTTTCAAGAATATGAGACGGATCCCTCACGTATTTCTTGAGCATCGATACATGAAACACGTCGTGTATCTTCTCAAGTTCTGGCGTCAACTTGAGACGGTATGCTACTGCCCCTATCCTTTCAAGGATTTCAAATGGACCAATGTATCGGGGGTTAAGCTTTCCCCTCGATATAAATCGGATGATACCCTTCCAAGGAGAAATCCTTAGAAAGACCTTATCACCGACCTCGAACTCCAATGGCCTTCGTCGTTTGTCGGCATAACTCTTCTGCCGATCTTGGGCAACCTTAAGTCTATCCTGGATGACTTTCACCTTAGCCTTGGTGATTTCCACAAGTTCAATCCCTTCGAGCTTGGCCTCGCCAACCTCGTCCCAACATAACGGTGTTCTGCATTTCCTCCCATACAATGCCTCGTATGGAGGCATGCCAATACTCGCCTGATAACTGTTGTTATAGGCAAACTCAACCAGAGCCAAATGCTTGTCCCAACTCCCTTGGAACTCCAGAGCACATGCCCTAAGCATATCTTCCAGAATCTGTATCACCCTCTCGGATTGCCCATCTGTCTGTGGGTGAAAAGCTGTGCTAAACTTTAGCTTCGTTCCCAAAGATGCTTGAAACTTTGGCCAAAATCGGGATGTGAAACGTGGGTCCCTATCCGAGACAATGGATATGGGAACTCCATGAAGTCTCACAATCTCCTCCGTGTATAGCTTTGCCAATCGTTCAAGAGGATAGGTAATGTTGATAGGCAAAAAGTGTGCACTCTTAGTGAGCCTATCAACCACTACCCATACTGCATCATAGTTGTTCACTGTCCGTGGTAGCCCCACCACGAAGTCCATGGTAACATGCTCCCACTTCCATTCTGGAATGGTCAGTGGCTGCAAAAGCCCCGCTGGGTGCTGATGCTCTGCCTTAACTTGTTGGCAAGTAAGGCATCGACTCACGTACTCTGCGATGTCTCTCTTCATACCCGACCACCAGTAACTTTCCTTCAAGTCTCGGTACATTTTAGTACCTCCTGGATGCATAGCATATGCCGAAGAATGAACCTCCTCTAGTATAGACTTTTGGAGCTCTCCACTCTTCGGTATGCATACACCGTCCTTAAACAATAACAGGCCGTCATCACGTACCCGAAAGTTCTCCACGGGCCCTTCAAGGATCCTCTCGCGGATCTTCTGGCATTCTTCATCAGTGGCCTGACATCTACTGATCTCACTCAGCAATGTAGGCCTAACCTCGAATCTAGCAATGAGGACCCCACTCGTGGACACCTCCACTTGTGCTCTCAAAGCTCGTAGACATGTGAGTAGTGTCCCCGATGTACTCTTCCTGCTCAGTGCATCGGCCACTACGTTAGCCTTTCCGGGATGATAGTCAATGATCAAGTCATAGTCCTTGATCAATTCCATCCATCTCCTTTGTCTCATATTCAACTCTTTCTGAGTGAATACATACTTCAGGCTCTTATGATCGGTGAAAATGTGACATGTCTCCCCGTAGAGATAATGCCGCCAAATCTTCAGTGCAAACACCACCGCTCCCAACTCTAGATCATGGGTAGGGTAATTCGACTCGTGTTTCTTCAATTGCCTAGAAGCATAGGCAATCACCCGCCCGTTTTGCATTAGTACACACCCAAGACCTTGAATGCTCGCATCGCTATATATATCATACCCTACCCCTTGTGTGGGTAGGGCAAGGACTGGTGCTTCAGTAAGTCGTTTCTTTAATTCGAGAAATCCTTCCTCACACTTGTCGTCCCACACGAACTTGGCCCCTTTCTTTGTGAGCTTTGTTAATGGAGACGCCAACACCGAGAATTTCTCAACAAACTTACGATAGTATCCCGCTAAGCCAAGGAAACTACGTATCTCTTTCACATTCTTGGGCCTCTCCCAATCCATAATAGCTTTAATCTTGGCGTTGTCCACGGCAACGCCCGAACCGGATATGACATGACCGAGGAAACCAATCTCTTTGAGCCAAAATTCGCATTTAGAGAACTTGGCGAAGAGTTGCTTTTCCGTTAGCCGATCAAGTACAAGCCTCAAATGATGTTCGTGCTCTTCCTCGCTCTTGGAGTATATCAAGATGTCATCAATGAATACTATCACAAATTGATCTAAGTATTCACTAAACACACGGTTCATCAAGTCCATGAATGCCGCCGGTGCGTTGGTTAAACCAAATGACATCACAAGAAACTCGTAGTGACCGTATCTAGTGCAAAACGCACTTTTAGGTATGTCACTCTCCTTGATCTTCAACTGATGATACCCCGACCTCAAATCAATCTTCGAGAATACTATTGCCCCTCGAAGTTGATCGAACAAGTCATCTATCCTCGGTAAGGGATACCTGTTCTTGATGGTGACCTTGTTCAACTGTCAGTAGTCGATACACATTCTTGGTGTACCATCTTTCTTCTTCACGAAGAGTACGGGTGCTCCCCACGGTGAATGACTGGGTCTGATGAACCCGTTGTCCAATAATTCTTGTAGTTGGACCTTCAACTCTTGAAGTTCGGCCGGTGCCATTCGATAAGGGGGAATCGAAATGGGTTTGGTTCCCGGCTCCACTTCAATTACAAATTCGATCTCTCTATCGGGTGGAAGCCCCGGTAGGTCTTTGGGAAAGACATCCGGGTATTTGCATACGACTCGTACATCTTTGATGTCGACTTCCTTCTTGGTATCGTCCACCACATAGGCAAGGTATGCGTGACATCCCTTCCTTATCATCTTCCGTGCTCTCATCACGGATATGATACAAGCATTAGATTTCCCCCAATCTCCCTCGAAACATAGCGTGTTTCCTTGATCATCCTCGAGCTCCAACACCTTGGTGTAGCAATCCACTCGGGCATGGTATTTCTCTAGCCAATCCATCCCTAGGATCGCATCGAACTCCAACATGCTTAGAGGTACGAAATCACAAGTCAAGGGTTGACCCGTCACTTCCACCTCACATGATGGATAGTAATGATTTCTCTCCACGTCATCTCCTAACGGTGTGGAGACCAGTAATGTTTGCGTCATAGGCGCCAATGGCACGTCAAGGCCCTCGGCGAACGCCTCACTCACGAATGAGCGTTGTGCCCCGGTATCGATGAGGATCCTCGCACACCTACCATTGATCTTTAATGTTCCTACATTTATACACCATGTAAGATACCTTTTCTAATGTTTTTACACATCATTAGGAGGTTATTAGGTTCATACTAATGTTTGGAATCAAACGGGGGGTCCAAACGTAAAAGAACGGAGCGAAAAAATGAGTTTTCGGTTGCCGGGGGTCCACGCACGGCGTGCCTGGGTGGCACGCACGGCCGTGCGTGCATAGGAGTCCCCCTGCTCGCCACTGCCTCCCAGGCACGGTGCCACGCACGGCGTGCCTGCGGCCGTGCCTGGCCGAATTTCCTCGAAGAGGCCACTGCCTCCCAGGCACGGTGCCAAGCACGGCGTGCCTGCGGCCGTGCCTGGCCGGAATTCCTCAGAAAGGCCACTGCCTTCCAGGCACGGTGCCACGCACGGCGTGCCTGCGGCCGTGCCTGGCCGGAACTCCTCAGCGAGGCCACTGCCACCCAGGCACGGTGCCACGCACGGCGTGCCTGCGGGCGTGCCTGGCCGGCAGTGGCTGTTTCCAGCCTAATTTGGCCTAACTCACCCGGTTTGGCCCCGGGGTGGCCCGCACTCAATCCCAACGACGTACATGATCAAAGTAAGCCTAAAAATGCCCAAAATAAGTGTATTACTTGCGACGGAGTCGGGATTAGCCCGAGCATCTGCCTCGGTCATTGCGTACACTCTCGCTTGAGTTCTTTCTTGGTTCACGGAGGGTGCGTTGCTTGTACTTGCCCCGCCGTGGCCCGCGCTTGCATTTGGTGCCCCACCCCGGTTTCTACTCACCGTGGTTGCACTGCTTGGTCCTGATGACCGGTTCCCACCAAGTTGAGGGCAGTTGGGCTTTATGTGCCCCGTATCTCCGCATTGGTAGCACCGTGGGGGATCACGACATTTTGCCCTCGTGATTTCTCTTGCAATTCCTGCACTTAGGCTTCGTCGAGGCTTGTGACCCCGAGTTTTGCCCACCCATGTTGGGATTCCCCCTTGATGGTGGTGCGGGTGCCCTGAAGGATCCTCCTCCCCCGTGATTCCCATTCTTGTTTGAACCCTGGGGGCCATGGTTCTCCCATTTTCTTTTCTTTGCCTCCTCGGCATTTCTTCGCTTCCTCTCTTCCCACTCCTTCTCTCCCTTCAAACCTTGTTCCACCACTTGACTAAATGTCATATTAGGCAATTGTGTTGCCCTCTCACGTATGTCAAGGTCCAAGGCATCCCAGAAGTGATTCACCATCCGGTTCTCATCACATATGTACTCCGGTATGAATTCGGCAAGCTTTCTGAACTTGTGCTCAAGTTCCTTCACCGTACATGCACCTCCTTGTGTCAAGTTCGTATACTCCCTCCTCTTCATGTTTACCTCGAAGTCGGAGTAGTATTGGTTGAAGAACTCCTGCCGAAAGTTCTCCCAAGTGACGGCCTCGCCGTATTTTCCTTTGACTCCGTCCCACCACGTGGACGCCATGCCTTCTAGCAACCTCGTTGCTACTCTCATTTTCATGTTTGGCGGCAGCTGCATGTCAAGGGCCGCCTCGTTGAATCTTTTGATCCATTCAGCCGCAATGGAGATGTCTCCCGTTCCATCGAACGGTTTGCACCCCAAATCCCTTGCTTCTTTTAGGTATTTCGAGATCCTTATTATTGGGACCTCGACACCTCTTCCTCCCCGGGGTTCCTCATGTCCTCCAAGACTAGCACGGCTTCCTCTTCTCGAAGCCCCTACCGAAGCACGCCTTGCCCGGCGCCTTTGGCGATCTTGTTGGTATTGCCGAAGCAATTCCTCAATCCTCTCGAGAGCGTCATTATCATCGCTCTCTTCGCTAACGTCATCGTCCCCCCCATCATATGGGGTTTCAACCAGCTCAGTTCCCGGCCGGTAAGTTGAATCCTCCTCGGATTCATAATGCTCGTCAATCGTCTCAACATGGCCGTCACTCACGGTCAGCGAGTGGCCTGCACGGCCTTGTCCCCCGGACACCCTCGATGCTCCCCGACTGCCACGTTGGGACCTTCCCGGTGCCTGGCCAGTCGGGTTCCGTCGAGTAACTTTCCCGGTACGTTCCATTTCTGAAAGAAATTGAGAATGAGCCATTAGACTCGTATCAATGTCAAGTGACGGATAGGCACTTAAAGACATCATTTGGCTCAAATCACCGTCATACCAATTGTTAAGGGTACCATCTTAACAATTAGAGACTTTGCAACTCAAGTACCAAAAGTTCTATAAGTGCAAAACTTTTATGCTCATGGTTTTCAAAATCATTTTCAAAAGGGATTTTGAAGCTTCATTATGAAGTTTACGGACTAAGGCTCTGATACCAATTAAATTGTCACGCCCCGGACCTACCCGGACACGTCAACAATCCGCCGTACAGTACGAATGGTCAACCGCAGTCCAACACATTCATACTATACAAGGCGTCTGGGATATCATTCACACATAGTACATCCATAAACAAACATAATATAAAACGTTCATTCAAAGCAGCGGAAACGTTTAATACAAGTGTTCAAGCCACACTTGGCGCAACATGGGCATACAAGCCATCAATAGTTATTCAAAAGATAACATCCATGAGCATTAATTTAAATGAGTTTAAAACAGGAACGGAGGAAGCACGAACCACGTCTTCTTCTCCTGAATTCTCTTGGAGCAACGGCGAGGGTAGCAACCTTCAAGTTCTACTTGAAACTGTGAGGTGGCCTCCCCCGTGAAGGGGAGGTCAGTACTTGGAAGCATTTGACAAGTACAATGACAACTATACTAAGTATAATCAAAGTTTCAATTTTCCAAGACCCTCAATCTAGGATGTTATTATATTATAGGTCATAACCCGTGGTTACCCTCTTTGAAAGTATACTTACTTTATATATAAAGTCAAGTAGTCGCCCGAAGGCCCATGTTTACTTTGAAAACATTTAACCCTTTCCCCGTGACTTCAAGCCACACCCATCTATATTAGTTTACCATGCTAGAGGCTTCCTCTAGTCATGTTTTGTCGTGCTAGAGGCTTACTCTAGTCACTCCACCTGGTGTTAGAGGCTTCCTCTAATCACCTTACATACGTTGTGCTGGAGGCTTCCTCCAGTCACATTACGTTACGCTAGAGGCTTCCTCTAGTCGCCCTACACAAATGCTGGAGGCTTCCTCCAGTCATTCTTCATCGTGCTAGAGGCTTCCTCTAGTCACGATACTAGTTCACTAAGCAAGTTCTATGCCTAGAGTTCCTCTATTATGAGTAGCCTTTGAGGCCTACTCCTACGGTAACTTAGCGTTTACCCATTTCTACCTTAAGACATCTCATAAGACTACTTAAGGTGTACCTCTCTCACAATCCAAGCCCTTAGGATTTGTTCTATCACTTTTCATACTAACATTTCCGACTAGTAAAATCAATACTAATCCATTTGTCTTTAAGCCACCAAGCTCTTTAATTCATAGTTATAAGGCTCATTCCCATGAATTTCCCAATCTATATATGATTTAATCTCGATATCAAAAATATCACTTTTATCCATTCATGATTTCTATACATGAAGTAAAAGTATATTTCATCACAAAAATTCATGATTTATACATTCATCATATCATCATTCTTACAATGCATAACTATACACCATTTACTCATAAATTTGTATATTATGCATCTTCTATTAATAAACAACAATATTTTCATTAGGCATTATTAATCATTAATAATCCATGAAAATCACATTTAGTTATCTTAGGTAATCTTATGAAATTAACCCAAGGATTATAAGCAATATAGTCGGTCATCCTCACCTTAAGTGAGCTTGAACGCGTCCTACGCTTCCCGGTTGAACTTTGGCTAATTCCGGTGAACTTTGACCAACTCCGGCGGACTTTGACCAACTCCGGCGAAACTCCGGCGAAGCTCAAAAATACTTTAATCAAGCTCCTAACAAGGTTTTAACATCATAAAACCTTAATCAATACGAATAACCTCTAAAAGGTTATTTTCCGGTGAACTTGTCGGTTTGGTTCCTAAGTCCACTCTTGGACATAGAACCATTTCCCAACCCATTATTCCACACTCATATCATGTGGAACCATCCTATGGAACCTTCATATGATATATATCTCATATGATAGAAGAAAAATAAAGGAAAAGTTATGATAAGGTCATTAACTTAATTTTCACACTTTTTCCTAGCCTTTTTCCTTCTTTAATCCTCCTCCTTGGAACTCCTTTGCTTGAGCTCGAATTTGCTATGGAGGATGGTGGTTTGCAGAGGTTTCTTCCTCTCTTGGTGTGTCTTGGCCGAACTCAATGAGTGGGAGAGGAGGGAGGAAAGTTTCTTTTGTCTTTCTTTGCAAATGAGTAAGGAAATGGGGGTCCACTAGGTGTCAAAGGTGTTCCTCCCTGATACGTTTGTAATTTCCGTATGTTTATTTACGCTTTTAGTTAGTTTTGATTGTTTAATATTTCGGAAATTACACACTTTCGGTGTAATAGTTTAGTTTGTTAAATTCTTGTAATTTGTTTAGATTAGGTTTATTCTGAGCTTAAACAGGTCCAAGATCAATCAAATGATCAATGGTGAAGGAAGGTGCAAGAGTACAAGACAAAAAGAAGGAAAAATCCTGATTCTGGTCTATACTCGATCGAGTATATACATATACTCGATCGGGTATCTGGTTGACATTTCAAATCGGATCGGATCCGAAAACAAAGGAACATGCAGGAGAAGATTTTCCCACGTTCGAGTGTCTATACCCGATCGGGTATGCTTATATACTCGATCGGGTATGCATATAAAATCTACTCGAGTATTGATCGAGTATTGACCAAATTCTGATTTCTATACATACTCGATCGAGTATGTATACATACTCGATCGAGTACTCGATCCTGCACCTCAAAAAGCCTATAAATACACCCCCTTTCCTTCACTTTTAGATACCAATTCCCATATACTCTTAAGCTCAGTTTAGAATAGCATTTCTCTATATTTCTTTTAGCATGTTTAGTCTCCAAATGAGGAGCTAAACTTCCATTTCTTTGTTTTGCTCTTGAAGCTTGATTGATTATTAAAGTTGTGAGTTATTTTCTTACTTTCTCCTCTTGATTATTAATTCTTCCCTTAATCTCATTCTATATCATTGTTGGAGGGTGGCTAAGTGACGATTAGTTAACGTTCCAACATTGATTATTACTAGAAACGTTCAATGAACCGATGGTTAAACGTTGAAGGTTTCACAAGTAAGTAACTTCGGTTTGTTAATGCACGGTCGTGGTTAATAAACTTAAGAGGGATCAATTTTGTTGGTTAAACCAAAACCGTTGCGTTGAGGTTATCAATCTCAATTGATTTCATCAAGGAGTTAAATAGATTGAATGCTACTATTATATCGGTATACGGCGTTGTTCTATATTTGATTAATAGTAAGGGTTATTAATGAACGGTCGTTGTTAATAACTACCCTCGATGAACTGGTTATACTCCGCGATTGAGTATTCGAGAGGGGATAAGTTATGGATATAACAATGATCGACTAAAATATATCAACAAGTGGAAAGTAGCAAGACCAAGTCCCTTTTATCTTTGAATTAAATCCCATATAAATCGTTCATCTTCGTGTTTAATTTAATTAAATCACTCAACAATCAAAACCCCCCCTTTTACTTACTATTTATATAAAAAGAAAGTTATTCCTTTCCCTGTGGATACGAACTCTACTACGCTATACTACGTATAAGTGTTGTATTGAATATTACTTTGAGTGCACTCACGACAAGTGCACGTCAAATTTGGCGCCGTTGCCGGGGAGAGGCAATTGATTTTTCTTTTTACTTTATTTTAAGAAAAAGAAAGAAAAAAATATGGTTCAAGTATAAAGATTTCTATTTCTTCTGAGCTTTGTAGTATATGGTAAAATATCGTTCACTGAACGAAATCACATACCACTCAAACCCCGAAATAGAACAAACTCTCGAGCGGTTGAAAAACAAATTTTCAAACTCCGACTCGGGAGAATCATCAAGTGCTTGTTCTCAATCTAGCGAGACCGAAGAGCCAATCACTATGGCTCATGAAACAAGAACATTAAGGGAGCTCACAGCTCCGAATCTAAATCAACAACCCCTTTGTATCACCTTTCCAACCCTTGATACGGGGGTCACATTCGAGCTAAAATCTGGGCTCATCCATCTACTCCCATCATTTCACGGCCTACGAGGGGAAGATCCGAACAAACACTTGTCGGAATTCCATATTGTGTGCACAAGCATGTGCCCTAATGGTGTTTCCGAAGAGCAAATAAAACTGAGGGCCTTTCCATTCTCCTTAAAGGACACCGCGAAGGATTGGCTTTTCTATCTTCCTTCGGGTAGCATCAATACATGGGCTCAAATGAAAAAGAGCTTCCTCGACAGGTATTATCCCGCATCTATCTCTTCAAGTCTCAAAAAGCAAATCAGCAACATTGAGCAAGCCGATGATGAGACCTTGTACGAATATTGGGAGCGCTTTAAGAAATTATGCGCTAGCTGCCCATATCATGGATATTCGGAACAAGATCTCATCCTCTACTTCTATGATGGGCTTGTTGATCAAGATAGACGCATGGTGAATGCGGCATGTGGAGGGGGTATTGTCAACAAAACCCCTTCTCAAGCAAGGGACCTCATCTCCGAGTTGGCCGAAAACTCGAGGCATTATAATGGGAGGTCATCATCAAAAAGAGTTATGGCAGCGGAATCCAACAATTCGTTGGAAAGTCAAGTGGCCGGCTTGACTTCTTTGGTCAAAGATTTTCTTTTGAATCCAAAAACCCAAGAAGTCAAGGTCTGCGGCATATGCTCAACACAAGGGCATCCCACCGATTCTTGCCCAACATTACAAGAGGAGAACCCCGAGCAAGTCAATGCTTTGGGTTTCCAAGGTCAAAGAAGATATGATCCTCACGGCAACACTTACAATCCGGGGTGGAGGGATCATCCCAATCTAAGGTACGGAAACTCTCAACCTCCTCAACAATCAAACCCTCCCCCTCAACAATATAAACAACAAGGGCAAACATCAAACTCGAGCATGTCCACTGAAGACATGATTCGATCACTGGCCAT